TAACATGCCATGTGGGGAGCTTGTAATTCTTATCAGACTATCTGGACTTGAGTCCCAGCTCTGTTTCTGATCCTACCTTCCTGTTAATGAGCACTTGGGGAAGAACCAGGTGATTAGTCAAATATGTGGGTTCTTGTCACATGGGATACCCTGACTGAATGTCTGGCTTCTGGCTTGGTCTTGGTTCAGTCCTAGGTGTTGTAGTCATTGGGGAGTAAATCAGCAGGTACAAGACTATCTGTCTATGTTTGCGTTTCAAAAAAGGAAAAGATTTCTCCATCAGTGAGTTTGAAATAGACATCTAGACTTGGGGCAGAGTGAGATGTTGACCCTGCATGTTGAGTAAGGTATCAGTACCCCTACAAGTCTCAGAAATGCTAGATTGGGCATGTAGCTTAGTACTGAAGATGCCTGCAGCCCACGTTGAAGTATCTGGATATGTGTGAATCTAGGCTCTGGCTCCTGACTCCAGGTGCCTGTTGAGTCAGTACCTAAGAGAGAACAACAGTGGCTTAAGTAATTGCACTCCTGCCATCCCCCAAGGGAGACCTGGATTGTATTCATAGCTTCTGCCTTTGACCCAGCCCAGCCCCTACCATACAGGAATTTTTGGGTAGTGAACCAGCCAATAGGCATGCATGCATGCTCTCCTTCTGCCTCTTAAACAACATAAAAATAAAACACAAACTGACATGCAGATTCTTGATCCCATAAGATTCCAAATGTCAGAGCACTCCTCCAGTTTAGGTAGATACCTAGTACAGTATCATTTGTTCAAGTGGTTCATAAGCAATAACAAGTATATGTATTCTGAATTCAGTATCTGTTAGCATTAGGTTTGAAAGCTTAACATTTAATTCAATTACTGCACTAAAAGATTTCCTAGCTGAGAGATGGTAGGTTGAAGGTATACTAAAATGTTTTCTACTTAAAAAACACCTCAGATTCAGTGGCTGGCCAGATTATCTAAAACAGAAGCACTCTGTCTTCATGCAGGTAGACTCAAACACACAGCTTCCTACTACTTATACAGGAGGATGTGACTTCTTCCCTTCACCCTGAGGAAGAGGGTTTCCCTAACATGAGCATGGAGGGTCTCCCTAACATGAGCATGGAGGATCCAGTGGGAACAATTCCATGGGAAATATGTGGGTTGAGAGACTAGAGAAAGGACAGAGCTATGTCACCTAGGAAAAGCCAGGGCAGCTGACCTGGGGGCAGAATCCCAGACAAGACTGGCCTGCCTACTTGCTGACCAACCCACTGTGGGCCCAAAATAGCCTCCTCACAAGCCTGCATTTCTTCCACTCTTGTCTGTGCTAGGTCGTGCTACCTGAAATGCCCCCATTTAGAGCAGTGACCTGGCAGATGTTGTGGCAGAAGGGGTTCACTGTTTGTCCCCGGAGAGGCAGCCAGCAGTAGGAGAGGGCAAGTGGCCCCTATGGTGTGTGTCTATGGAGCACAGACTTTCCAAAGCAGTTCTTATTTCATCCTCGTGTCAGTGTCATGAGGCAGGTTTAACATGCTCCCCACCTTCCACAGGTAGGGATCCTGACTCTAATCTGCTTTAGCCCTTGCTTGTTGCACTTCCCTGATTTCTCTGCACTTCTGTAGAAGACAGCATGGAGACCATCACAATGGTCCTGTGACTTATACTTTAGCTATAGCATGGTTTACACAGGGTTTCTTTTCTGTGTGATAGCCTGAGAACTTGCCAGCTCGGTTTAAGAGGTTGTTCTACAGGGAATTTGCTACCAAAGTGGCAGAATATAATTCTACTATATTACAGTAAATTGGATTTAGGTGTAATTATGGTTTAACAATGCGAATTTCCTTCTATTTGGCTTCCAGTTTCATACAAATTAAGGCTGCCATCCTGGTCCTAGGTTCCTTAATGCTTTATTTGTCAGATGTATTGTTAAGTATGTTCTACTTCTGACTACCAGATTTACCAACGTATTCCTAGCACTTAGGACAGTACTCAGCACACATAAAGTATGTGCTAAATGAATATATGACTCATGTAGATTGCAACTTATAAAACCATGTGCCCTTTATGCTTTTACTTGGGAAATACATCTAGGATTGAGATGGTGACTGTGAGTAAAATGAGCTTTGAATGAATTCAGACAACACAGTACAACGTGGTTTTAGTTACTAGTTTAAAATTTTTCCCATTTTAAGTGTTTCCCCTCCATAAAAAGTGCATCTTAAAGGTTTGGGGAAACTGATGCCAGCTTTGGCAGACTCTCCTTATGAATGAATCTCTGGGCCTTTCAGACTAGCTGTTTTACCCCCTTTCAGTCTGAGGACTGCAAAGGATTTCCATTCAGCTCTCAGATGCTCTGGCATCTGTGAGGTCCACTTTGCAGCTTCGTCTCACACCTGCTCTAATCACCCTTTGCAAAAGACACTGGCAAAAAGCAAAGTAAATGTACAGGGATAGCTAAAGGGAAAAGTCTTGAATGTCTCAGGGGACGGGGGAGAGGGGAGGTGAAGGAAACCATTAACCTGTGAGTTTAGACAACTTACAAGGCGCGATAGGAGCAGCGTGGACCAAGTTAGAGCCAATTAGCAGGAAAGCCAGTTGGCTAACTGTGGGTCCTGTTTGGTTAGCTCCTACTGTGAAAATTTAGGACATCCACAGTGGAGCCAGCAGAAGACATAGAGCCTCAAGGGCGAGTGTGCAGACAGATCAGGGACCAGTGCTTTTGAAAAGCACAGGGCGCTTAATGTGACATCAAAGTCCTTTCACTTGATCCCTAAGCTGCACAGATTTGAAGGGAACTAGAGGGTTGAGAATTTATGGTACTTTCTACTTTCAAATGAAATGCAATGACTTAATGTTTTTTTCCCTAAGCCTTAGCCAGTTGCTCCGTGTGCAGTGCAGGATATAAATGTCAGTACTGTGACAGGGGCGTGTTGACACTGGTGGAGTGTCCAAAGTCTGCACACTGTCATTGTTTGGCCTTCCTTGCACTGACAGCTTGCTACCGAACTGAACATACCTGGAAAGAAATCAATTTGGCTTAGAATGCCGCTGAGTTTCTCCTTGGGAATGTTTCTCTTTCAGGTCTCCTCTAGGATCAATTAGGTCTCCCATAGCTAAAACTGAATTGGGTGTGTTCTGCTGGTTCAAATGCAGATTGAGTAATCAGAAGCTTGTCCGCTGCTTCCTTTGTCGTTTTGTACTTGGGTGAGTCACAGATTGTGTCTCTTTAGATATCATCAAGCTATTACTGACAAAACCCTGGTGGCACATCAGGTTCACTGGGAGTGGAGTGGGGGTGGGAGGTTCTCAATTTCCAGAAACCCAGGACCACTCTATGCCAAGTAAATCTGACCCTCCTAGGGTTAGGTCCAGCACTGGTCTTCAAGGTTCCCCAGGTGATTCCAATGAGCATGGGCTTGTCCTAAGGACTGGCTGGGATAGGACTATACAGGCCAAGGGGCAGATCTCAGAGCCACTGATGATTTGGGTCAGAGTTGCCTCTTATTGAACAGGTATAAGGTTCCAATGAGTTTAAAATAACTCATCTGTAACCCCACAGCTAGCTGAACACAGAACCAGGATACTCTGTGCTGAGGCTCCATGAATTGATCGACACTCTCATTTTTCTTCCCTGAACATCCATGCTGGAGACCCATCCTCAGGCACCGCCTTTCGTTGCCACAGCCTGGCCGGCCCCTGAACAGAGCACCAGGTCCTGAGCTCTCAAGCATGCGGCTCCAAAGAAGCATTGTGCATGTGACATAAGGGAAAGTCTTTACAAATAGGCTGATATAGGGAACTGACGGAATTTCATGGATTTTGATCTAAGGGATCACCATGTCCTGTTTGTAATCCTAAATCACTCTTGAAGTTATAATCTACCTAATTTTCAAAGTTGCACTCTTTGTTGTGGGATTTCCGGGAAACTGTTAAGCATAAAATATCCCATTTCCTGGGGTTTTTTCCTGCCCCCTAGGTCCCTAGCCTTGGAGGATTCTTAGTTGATGGCTGACTTGGACTGGCCCATCTGAACCCTGATGGTACTGTATTAAGTACAGAACTCCTGGTGGGATAATTCCAGTGTGTGGGTGGGAGTGGGGGAAGGCAGAAGGAGTGGCCATGTGATATTCTGGTTACACACAGCTCTCCTGCCCTATGCTAGGGGCAATGTCAGCGTTTCAACTGCTACCTTCTAAAATCACATACCTCTTTGATAGGCACTATAACTTCATGTAGGAAGACCCTGTTTAAGCAACACATTTCTGACCAGAGGAAGGTAAATTTATCATTATTAGATCACAATTGACATGCCTCAATTGAATTGCGTCTAAAACCTGTCAACTTGCAAGCGGCACAGACCCGTACTCTGACAAGAACAACCCTGACTCTGAATTTTTTTTTTTGTCTCCACACACATTGGTGAACTACAGCTTTCCCCCTTAGTTCCAGCCGGCATAATCTCCCCTTGTGCTTCTCTAGAACTGAACTTTTCTGAACAGATTTGACACTCCCCAGATATTTATTTGTTCTGGAAATTGAGGACCTTGTGCGCTTTTTTTCCCCCCTTTTATTCTGTCTCTAGCTTTTGTGAAAAGCCTGGCCTCTTGCAGAAGCAGTTTAGGATAAAAGTACATTGTTTTCAGCACGAAGCAGGGCTGGGCAGGCACAACAAAACGGATAAAGAGCTTGGTGGGTTGGAGGGGAGGGAAAGAACTTAAAAATGGAGGAGTGGAGCTGTATATGGGGTCGGGAAAAAGTGGGGGTACCTGGGCGTGTTCCTGTCGTGGTCTGAATCTCTGTTCATCGGGCAGTTTAAGGGACTGAGGGAAGGTTCCACACTAACTGCTGAGCAAAGCAGCTCGTGGCTTATACAGGCAAGGCATACAGGACGGTGGTGCACTTCCGGGGGGGGGCTACGGCATCCACCAGGTGCGTGCAGGCGCGGGTAGGGGCGGCGAGGGGGGTCCACCAGCGGTCCCCGCCCCCGCGGGGAGGGAACGGTTCTTACAGTCACGGCTCAGCGCGAAGGGCGCGCGGCGGCGGCCAAGGGAGCGGTCTTCGGCGGGCACCTCGGGAGGCCTCTTACCGGCGGGCAGCGGGAAGGCGGACGCGGTGTGGAGCAGCACCAGGCAGACAGCCACGACATCCCATAACTTCATCTTAGAGTCCCGTCCGGCGGCGGCACCTGTGCGGGCGGGCCAGCGGGAGACGGAGGAGAGAACCGGCAAGAAGACTTGTTAGGCTCGTGCGCCCAGGGCGCGATATCCCCCGCCCATCAGGTCCCTGCGGGCCCCTTCCAAACTCCTCCAGCCTTCCAAACTCCTTCCAAACTCCACCACCCTCCTCGAGCACGGCTGCACGCCTGCCGTTTGTTCCCCTGGCTCTCCTCTGCCCTCCTTTCAAGTTGCTTCCTCACTTTCTTCTCCCAGGTGTGACCCAGAAGCAGCTCTTGCTCCCCTGGCCAGGCCGCGCCTGACCTTTTCCTCTGCCACCCTGCCCCTAGGGTAAGATTTTCAAGCACAGCCATTGCCACCCGCACTCCTAGGCTGGGAACCCACTCCGTTCCACACCGCAACAGGACACCCAGATTCCTGGGCAGTCCTCGCTGCAAACGCACACCTCCTCCCATTTCCTGGAGGGCACACTCTACATGCCCCCCCCACTAGACATTCCCCCCCACTAGGTATTCCCCCACCAGAGATCCAACCCAGGAACGCTCGTAGGCTCCCAGGACCTATCATGGTCCTTGGGTAAAAACAGCTGGGTCCTACAAGCTCCCAGCTATAGGCGGGGCAAGGCTGAGGATGGGGGGAGGGAGGGGTGCCACTGAGTGCGATCTTTTCCTTGCTTCTTCCCTCCCACCTAGATAAGACACTACCGGGGAACAAGAAGTTAGTAGAGACCTGGAGAATCTGGGCCCACGTGGGAGTATTTGGGTTAAAGTTACTTAATTACTCGAAGCATGGCCTCGACTTAAAATACTAGTTCCATCTCTTAAGGTTATGGACATCAAATAGCGCACGGGGAGCTCCAGAGGAGTATACATTAAAGGCTCAACATAGCCCCTGCCATTTTCACCCTCTATTCTTGTTTATGGCGAGATTCTGGTTCTAATCCGTTCCCCTCCCAGAGCCCCACCCACGCTTGGACGTGCGCTGGCAACCTGGCCTAGGTTGTCCCTCCCCAGGAGCGGGGTCGGGGCTCACTTTGTTAGAATGAGTGACGAGTCTCGGTTTAGATTCTCGGGCCCCACACCCCTTAAAAAGAAGGCCTCATAGACAACGGGGAGGGGGGTGGTAAGAAAGTCACCCCTGACTTGAGGCCAATGAGGCGGCGAGGAGGGGCCGAGGCACCTAGGGGTGAACTGTCACCAGCGCTCTTCTTCCTGCTGTTGTTCTCTCCAGGGACAGACAGAATCCTCAGGGGATTTATGCAGGTGCTATTTGTGCGCAACAACTCCCTCCTCCAGGTAAAGAGGATTTGGGGGATTCCCCCTCTCCCTGTGGTGGGGAGAAGACTTTCCAGGTAAATGTAGAAACTTTTCCATTACATTAAGAACAGGCGCACCTGTCTCCATTCCATAACTCCCCATAGCCCTAACCTCCAAGTTCCACGTGGCACCCCAAGCGTCAAGGCCGGGTGTAAGCGCTGAATTTAGTGGCCACCTCCCACCACTACGGAGATGAATTCATTTCCCAGCCCTGGGGCATCCGTTTGTTCACTCTGCAGCTGTTGGGCTCCGGCAGTGTGGGGACTGGGAAACTTTAAACAGGTTTGCAAACCCTGGGAAAAGCCACGTCTCAGTCTCAGACTCAGGGCGCACAGGCTAAAGACCAGCGTGCCAGGTGTGCCTCCCGTCCCCCCTGGGTGCCAGGTCTCGGGTGCATGTAAAATGGCTAGCAATGCAGACCAGTAGCGAGACGCAGGGCTGATGCTCCATTCCAAAAGGTTCTTCTCCCACCTTTTGTTTGTTTTTGTTTTCCTCCCTTCTCTTGGCCAACTGAGGGCTTTTTAAATTGGACGTAGAGATCCTCAGTTACAAGTGTGGCGAAGCTGGCAGAAGAGGACAGAGTGGAAAACTCCTCGCCCCGCCAGAGGAGGCTCCCACCTCCTGCCCTGTTGTCGGAGTCGCCAGCGTTCACAAAGAGCTCCCGTCCCAGGACCAGGGAGGGCGCATTCCTTGCTCCAAGTGCCGCCAGGGGACCCCATCCAATCAGAGTGGCTTTTCAGTCCCCCGTATTTTGCGGGGCGCGGGGAGAGGGGTTCCAGGAATGGCGCATGCAACCATTTCCTCTGGGTCCATCGGGGTCTTCTTCACCCAGGGCCTTCCCAGATTGAGTCTGTATCACTTGCCCCAAACTCATGTACAATTGTGCTGCCATGGTTCCCCCACCTCTCCGCAACTATATCACCTTTTGCTGCGTATGCTTGTCGCTTCACACGCTGCCATGTGCGAGAACCCAGCTCCCCCGCAGTAAGTCTTCGGGGCCAGCTAACCCCGCACCCCCTTTGTTTGTTTGTTTGTGGGTTTTTTTTTTTTTTTTTGCTAGGCAAAGGTCGATCCTCCGGTGAGGTTTGGACAAATGTTTTCCAGAAGGGCACCTGGTGGGTCCCCCAGGGTAGGGCGGAGAGCAAATCCAGGAAAACCCGCGGATTCTGCAGAAGCCGCCGCTTGCTCGCTCGCTCGTCTCCCGCCCGCGGGTTGGCCGCGGGACGCTTCTGAGTTCCCGGCACCAGGGGGCACCAGAAACCGCCCGAGTCCCCACTGTGTCCACTGGGCCGACAGACTGCGTTGTCATTTTAAGTAGAAAACCGGAGAACCATAACTGGCTTCACCACCCTCTCTAAATCCGAAGCAGCCCCGGGGATCTGCGATGTCCTAGCCGACATCCCTGCAGCTCAGGCTCCCTCTTCTTTCTCTCCCGGTTTTCCCCTTCCCATTGCGCGGAAAACCTTGGCAACCTGCTTCTTCTAGACACCTTCCTTCGCCACCCCACTCTCCGGCCCCTCCCCTGTGTCCCCGCGGCGGCTCCGGTGCGGGCGGCACTCCCGGCTCCAGAGCCCCCACCTCCTGTCCCCCGCACCTCCCTGTACCTGGCCGGCTAGAGGTGTGTTTGCATTTAGCCTTAGACCCAGGTCTCAGGCAAGCCTGGGGCGCTGAGGTTGGGGGCGGTGTTGGCTATAAACTTGGCTGCTTTCTCAGGCCGCAGGGACAGAAACTACAGAAAGATCCATTGCCTTTCTGAACTGCGCCGGGTGTCCTTGGCTGATGGCGGGGGTGGGGAGGGAGTGTACATGCTTAGCTCCCCACCACTGTGATTCCCCGAGGCGAAGCCAGGAAAAAGAAGGCCGGGTGCTGCTAGCAGGCTAGCCGCAAAGGCGGCCCTGCAGCGAGGCCAGGCTCCAGGTCCTGGGGCAGCCGAACCTCCTGGGGCGGGGGTGGGCTATGGCGCGCTTCCCGGACACCCGGACACTTGTCACTTGTTGAAAAGGCGACACCTCCCACACGCCCAGGAGAAGACTCAGCCAAACCGCGATGGGGCCGAGCGGAAGCCCCGTGGCTCCCACTTGGAAGGGCCTTTGCGGGACGCGGTGTTGTGCGTGAAGTGATAGGGCTGCGGCTCTTCCTCGAAACACTGGAAAGTTGCAGGGTCCAAAACCCTGAGTTGGAAGGGCTCGCGCGCTCCCACACATCGGGGCTGGGGGCGGAAATGTTGTGTCTGGCCCAGCAGTCTAGGGGCTAGGAAGCCCTCTGCCCGCACTCCAGGGAGCGCACCCTCAGCTCTGCAGACGGGTTCAGCCTTGCGCTGAAAACTAGAGAGGCGGCTGGAGGTTTGGGGGAACCCCCAGGTGTGCATTCCTGGCGAGAATTGGAGAGAGGGGATTTCTTCCCACCAGTTGGGCTGAAAACCAAACCACCACTCAGCTGCTCAGATGGTGCCAGGCAGTGGTGGGTAGGCAGGTGTTACTGGGAGGTGGAGGCACCGAGCACGGGACTAAAAAGGTCACGAACCAACACCTGGGTGGCCTAGGCGAGACCCTGAGGAGTCCCAAGTCTGTTGGAGAAGGACTTGAGTCTGGGACATCCCAGGGCCCCCTCCCTCTCCGACCCTCCATGGGAGCACGCGCGCTAGCGACCGGGTTCCCAAAAGGGCGAGGGGATATGACTTTGCAAATACCTGGCCGGAGGAGGCTGCCCTCTATTTTTAGGATCGCAGCACCTTCGCCTCAAGTCGCTCCCCCGGGCCTGCGCTTTCCCTCTGAACAGATCAAAAGTAGCTCAACAGTTAAGTTACACTTGGGGCAGTGAGCTCCTTTGCAGCTGGCGCGGACACTCCGCAGCTGGCGATGGCTTCCGAGGTGACCCGAGCCGCACATCGAGTCTGGGAGGGAGATCGCCTCTCTCTCTCCGGTATGGCGGGGTCTGCGGGCATCAGGGCCCCCACTAATTTTCGTCCACGTGGAAAAGGCAACCTGCCCCTCCGTGTTGCTGGCCTGGCTCTGTGTCATCCAACTTATTTCTCTGTCTCTCTCCTCCCTCCTAGGACTCCCTTTAGTCTTCCCGCTTTCACTGCCTGCCCGCCCCGGGGGTCAGCCGCACCCTTCAGTCTAGTGTACCCTTCAGCCCGCTGCTCCCGCCGGCGACGCAAACGCCTCCCCTCACCCCCCGCCCGCTCCGCTCACTCACCTCGGATCCGGTCTCCGCAGACCTCCAGTTGGACATTAACTCCAGGTGCCCCGAGTCCCAGCCAGGAGACCCATCCGGGCCGAGGGCAGGAGCGCGGAGCCCCGCCTCGTAGGTCAGGGGTTCGAGTTCGCAATCCTGGGGTTGCGCGAGGCTGCGAGGGCACGCCGGAGGCGGCGGCCAAGGTTCCAGCCGCCGCCGCCGCGAGAAGGGAGAGGGCTGCCGACACCTCCCGCGTCGGACCTCCGTACTCCCAGAAGCCCAAGTCCGAGCAGCCGCTGTCCCTGCCTTGGGTGGGGGGTGACACGGCTGTGCGCGCCGTGCTCTTGGCGGGGGCTGCACGGGCCTGGGGCGGCGCGGGCGGCTCAGCGGCGGTCGCCGCACTCTGCGCCTCCTTGGGGCGCTAAGGCTGGGAGCGCAGGACGGGCCTGTCTGATGCTGCCACGGGAGCCGAGGAGGTCTTGCCTGGAGATCCGAGCGAGACAACACCACGTCAACCGGCACGGGGAGTCCCGTGAAGACATGAGGGCGCCAGGAGCGCAGGCTGGTCGTCGAGATCCCGGGGCCGGGTGCCGGGTGGGGGGAGGGGAGGCGCGGGGCCCCGGGAGGGGAGGGGTCGGGCGGCGGCGAGGCCGGCGGTGGGGGAGGGAGACGAGGGCAGCGAGGAGGCGCCGAGCTCCCGAGGCGGGGGTGCGAGTGGGTGACGCGAGACGCCCCTCCCCGGGGTGCAGGGAGAACGCTGAGCGCGTGCAGACGCCGCCCGGCTCGCGCCTGCCCTGGCCGGGTAGATCCGGAGGAACGTGCGGAGCTCCGTTCAGCCCGACTGAAGGGGGGCAATCCGAACTTGACCGCTGCACCCACGCGGGGGCTTGGCCTGGGAGCCGAACGCTGGTTCGGAGGAAAGGCGCTCTGCACCGGTGCGGGGCTACCTCGGGCTTTTCCTCGCGCCTGTCGAGGGCTGGAGTCCGGCTCTGAATCTCGCCCTCTCGCGTTTCTGCAGGGCAGAAGGCAGCAAGGAGGCGAGGAGCTGCGGCCCGAATCCTCCTTAGCACGTCCACGAAGGAGAGACGTGGAGCGGCCCAGGGAGGGAAGCCGAGGGTTTGCCAGGGGAGGCTGCGAGTGAGGATGAATTTATAGGGCTCTCGTTCCGTGACGTGCCCTCCAGTGGCTTTTCTGATTCGCTTTCTGACCTAAACACACATTAGTTTAGTCCCCATGCTAGGGCCAACACGGTCTCCAAATATCTGCTGGCTGAAGTCAGAGGCTTTGCATATCATCTATTACACGGCAGGCAATGAAGAAGGCTTCTGAGGCTGGCGGGCTCCTCCGTCCTAGGCTCCATTTTCATGCTGTTGTAATCCAATAGCAGCCACGGGGTAGACACACACATACATTCAAAATCCTGGTGCCAGAGGCGCCAGGTCATTTTATCAGGAACAGGTCAGGGGAGGTTGGGCTAAACCTGCTCTTTTATTTTCCCCTCAACCCCGTTTTTTTGGAAAAAAAAAAAAATAGCCGGGAAACCTAAAGCAAACACCTGCTAATTTTCCCGGGAGAAGGGATGTAGCCAGTCCCGTCCCCTTTCCAGAGATTTCTGAACGGGAGAGGTGAGACTTTTGGGATGTTCCTTTTGTCAGTTAGCTCTCCCCAACACCCTCTCTCCCCCCAAAAGCCGCCTGCAGCTTCTTTGGTAGAGGAGAGGAGGAGGGCTCATTCTTCCCCAGCTTGTATGGAGGATGTACCCACAAACATGCTGCATTCACAGGCTGCATATGTGTGTGTGTGTGAGTATATGTGTGCACGCAGGGGGCGGGGTGGAGTGTGGAACTGGTGCTACCTTTTGAATCATTTACTAAATAAGGTATGTCTCTGCTAAGCAGAAGCTTGCTTTCCGGAAACCACTGGCCCAGAATTCTGTGGGACCTCTTTTATTTTACTAGCCGAGGCCAGGGAGAGCATAAACAGGCTCAGTTTACATGCATGTACCTCTTATTTTATGACTCATCCGGTTGTTGGGGAGCGTGTATTCTTCAAGTAGCTGGGACAGACAATAGACAGGGGAAACGCGTGTGGCAGTGGAGGAGGGGGTAGTTGAAGAAGAAGATCATGTATTATTAAGCTTAGGTGTCACAGATCAGCTACTTTGCAGGTTTGTCAGTTAAGTTAGAGAGTGGGCGGAAAATTGTTCTTACTAATGTTACCACGATGTAAGATTAAGTGCAGTGAAAATCAAGCCATCCAAGCATGTCTTCGCTGAAATGAGGATGAGAGCGACAGTTGTGCGCAATGTGACATTTCCCCCACTGGAGAGATTTGTGATAGAGAAGTATCTGGGTTTGGAAATCAGCTGATGGAATGAGCTTCGGGCATGTATCACAGTTCACTGTTGCTTTTGAAATTAAAAGGTGAAAGTAATCAGTACCCCCCCTTGCCCCATACTGATTTTTTCACCTTCTGCAAGCTTTTCACTGGGGGATGATCAAACCGTCCAGGCACCTACAAATATGTAGTATTTGCTGCATGCCACACAAAATGCTAGACCCTGGGCGTTGTGCTGATGGGTCCTTTTGGGGTTATCAGGGACTGATACCTCTGAGCTGGCCCTAAGTAATGGGAGTGTACTGTGGAAGGAAGGCTGACCGGAATCTCCACCACTCAGCCACGTGTCTCTGAAAAGCCTTCCGGAAAGGCCACCGAGCCAGGCCTCACGAAAACTGGATTGAAGTTCAGGAACTGGAAGGTCATTCAGGATACAGCTCTGTGGCTGGGTGCACTGGTGGCCCCTTCAGCGGCAGGCATCTGCTATCCCTACTAACAGGCTTAGCCGCCAAGGTGATTCAGCTCCTCTCTCGTCCAAACCTTTTGGCTTCAGCCTCTGCTATCAACTGCCCAGCTCTCCGTTGATCTTACTCCTTTAGGGAGTACAGTCTAGTTGGCCCTGCTGGGTATTCACCAGGTGCTGGGGGTGGACGGAGCTTTTCCTAAGAGGCCTCTTGTAGGTCAGCACACCTGGGATCAGGGTGAGGTCGGGGGAGCCTATTTCTGGGCCAGCCGTTGGTGTTCAGGGGGTTGATGTCACAGGTATAGAAGCTGGCCACCTTTGATTAAGAAGCTTCCTAGGATTCCCCTGGGGCTTTCCCTCCTTAGGAAGTGCAGGGTTCTGGTGAATACTTGGGATTTCTGTATTGTCCTGTGCGCTACAAGATAAATAAGACTCAAGTCCAAGCCCTCCCTAAGTTTCTCATCTGCCAGGAGAGGCAGACATGTGCCCTGTAACATGGTGCGAGGTGACAAGTAGTCTAGCTAAGATGTACACTGGTGTTCAGGTGATAGAATGTGGTCCTCCTGTGCAACTGCAGGGACGTTACAAAACAAAGTAAAACATACCCAGACTAGGCTGTCTCTTGGAGAAGAAGAATCTTGTGACCAGTGAAATCCAGGAGTTGATATTTTTAAAGACCCCATGGGCTTATCAATTAGTGTGCCCCCACCACATTGGCCAGAAAAGCAAAGGGAGGAAGTGTGCCATATTTTAATAGATTGGAGAATAAAGACCCAGATCATTAAGTTTCTTTGGATAATTCCTGCAGATCATCTTAAAAACAGGAATTCAAAGAAAAGTTTTAAGTTAATTTTAGAATTCAATTGATTGTAAATTTGAGAGAACATTTATACACATGATTACAGCCTGCAGATGAATGAAAACCAAAGCTTCATCTGAAGATTCAGCATGGAATGAAGGTCCAACAGGGGAAAAGGGGGTGACCTGATGTCCCAGTGTTAACACCCCACAAAGCTGAGAGCTCCAGCTGCACACCTCCAGTGCTCCACCTTCCCTGTTCTCAAGAATGCCCAGATGTGTTGGTCCTGTGGTGGTGTCAGAGCCAAGTCCAGCAGGGAACCATTTGCAGCCTGGCTTTTGCTCCCAAGAGGAAGAGCATTCTCTGATAAAGCAACAACAGCAACAGCAGATTCTAAGAACTAGCACATTGCCCTTAACTCTCACCCTTTGTATAGGAAATCCACATGAAAATCAAGAGACAGCATCCCATTTTCTCTGTGGGGAAAAATCTTTGAAACCCAACCAATGTCCCATCTCACCATTGGTGCCATTTTTCATGGAAATTTCATGTGGGTCTCTATGCGGTCTGCGTTCTCTGTGATGGAGGATCTTGTAGACCTTGTGTAGAGAAAACACAAAGGTAATGTAGCAAAAAGCAAAAATCAGTTATTTTGTAGCCTGAGACCATGAAACTCAAAATAGGCCTTGATTGGGTCAGGAGGCCAAGGGAGGAGGGAGCCCTGAGGGGGCTGGAAAGGGCCCTGGTGGGCTACTCAGTGCTTAGTGATAACTTTTGCTCAGTCTGGGGACCTTAGAGCTGTCGCTCATGGAGCAAGTGGGTCAGCCTTTGGCCATCTCCGGAGAGTCCTCGGCATAGTCCCAGAGAGGCTTTGCAGCTGCTTTGCCTGCAAGGGCCAGGACCTGGGTCCCTGGACTCCCTCATAACTTGGGTCCTGACTGCTGAAATGAAATCCATCACTTAGGCAGGCAATTTCCTTTTCAAAGTCGCTGCTTTATTGGGCAGGGACTTGTTCTTTGCTGGCTCTTTTAATGGCCGTTTTCACTAACAGTACTTTTGTTTATGGAGAAAAGACTCGTTTGCCTTCAGACCAATTTAAAAAAGAAAAAGGAAAGGAAGAAAAGGCTTTTTATTTTAAAGTGTTGAGAAGAGATAATTTTTTGAAATCAGTTATTTCTGACCAAAAAAAAAAAAACTATCCTGACATTAGCAAGGTAGATTTATCAGTGATCTCTGGCTGTTTCTTTAAATGGATCAGATCGTCTAATTATTCATTCACTTTCTGTTTGGGTCCTGTTTGCATGTTTTACAATCTCTGCTGTAACCACTCAGTTCTCTCCTTGTATTGCAAAAGCAGCTAGAGATAATATGGAAATGAGTGGACGTGTCTGCACTCCAATAAAACTTTATTTATGGACACCAACATTTGAGTTTTATGTGCTGTTGTGCATGTCATGGATATTATTCTTTTTATCTTTTTCCTCCCAACCCTTTAAAGCCCATTCTTATCTAAGCTCATGAAACATCCAGAAACTAACGGGGTATGGTTTGGTCCTGAAGGTTACAGTTTCCCGATGGCAGTTTAGGTTCAAGTTGTAACTTTGAGGAGATATACCAGCTGTAGAATTATGAAATTCTAGAACTAAGAGGGGCTTGAGACTTCCAGTCATGTCCAAGAA